TCGCTCGCTCGTGGAACCCCCCCGCCCGTCCCCGTGGGCTCCCAGTCACGCGCCCCGTAGAACGCACCGAAACGCACCCACGTGCCTCCGGGACCATGGGGGAGAGGGGGGATTTTTACAGTCCCCAAGGCACATGGGCACCCACCCCACCCAGCATCCCCATCACACCTAGGATGACCAGTTCGGAAAATTGGGAGCGGGAGGAGGGTCAGGGTCGATATATAAATCAAAGCCCCAAATATCAGGATTGTCCCCCGTAGAACGCACCGAAACGCACCCACGTGCCTCCGGGACCATGGGGGAGAGGGGGGATTTTTACAGTCCCCAAGGCACATGGGCACCCACCCCACCCAGCATCCCCATCACACCTAGGATGACCAGTTCGGAAAATTGGGAGCGGGAGGAGGGTCAGGGTCGATATATAAATCAAAGCCCCAAATATCAGGATTGTCTGTATAACATGGGGTCATCTGGGCACCTTAGCCACACATAGGGCTGTCACCCACCCTCCCTGGGAGAGAGATTTTTTTTGGAGGGGGGGGAAGGTCTGGGGACAAGACAATTCCTTTCTATCACAAGTCCCCTGAGTGAGGTATTGTGAAGCAACTCAAGAAGACAGCCATGGGAGAAGGGAGCTACCAACAAAAGAAGAGAGCTCTAGAACCCCAACCCCTTCCCCTTCAAACCATAGTCCCTGATCACATCCCACTGAAAGGGATGTTTTGTATTGGTGTGCTTTCATCTGTGTATTAAACTATGGAATTTAGAGTGATTGTCGTTGCTATTTACTGTGTACCAGTTGCTACACATTCTCCAAATATATAACACAGTGTCTGTCTTGAGGAAAAAACATTTCAACAATGACAAAGTCTGTGAAGGATGTAAAACATACAATTTTTAAAATAAGGTCTCCCTTGCTTGTCCACTGTTTATCCACTATGATAGCACTCAAAAGAGCTTTAGGGTTTGGGAAGGGGATGCAGACTCTGGGCTGGGGCTGAGAGACTCAGTGCAGGAGAGGGTTCTGGGCTGAGACTGTATAGAGCAGGCATGTCCAAAGTCCGGCCCGCGGGCCAATTGCGGCCCGTGTTCCGGTTTAATACGGCCCCCCGGGTAATTTGGCAATATCTATCTTTTATGGCCCCCAACGAATCCATATATATTGAGATGAATACATTGTAAAATCTCAGTTAATGTCAGTTGGTCTAAATCAGTTATAAATATATTTGGACACAACATGTATACTTGGTGTTATGTTCCTGTTCATATTTTTTGAACTTAAAAGTTGACAGACAACCTTTATTACCAATAATATGTCATGTACTTTACAATGTTCCTGACATATATTTCAGCTTCCTGGATTTTTTTTTTCATCTGGCCTTCAGATATGAAAGGCAGAGTGATTTAACACCTGTTTAGATTTGTCATCCATGTGACAAAATGAAAAGTATGCCATTTGCAATAAAATTTGCATAAAATAGTTAATTTGCATTTAATTTTAATGGTTCAAAGAATGTCAGGCAAAATGGTCGGCCCTCACGCATGTTCACTTCATCAAATCTGGCCCTCTTTGAAAAAAGTTTGGACACCCCTGGTATAGAGTGTTCCCAATAGGTAATACTCTGCCCCCAGTATGCCTACAGCAGGCCTTCTGGGGGCAGAGTGTGGGCAGGGCCGTGCATGGTAGTTTGGGAGGGTAAAGCCTTCCCCTACTCATGCTGGGCCCAGGTTATGTATAACTTCAAAAATAAGGATTGAGAATATGAACTTGATTAAAAATCCCATGGGAAGTCAGTGTAGAGAGCAGAGGACAGGTTTTATATATTCATGGTAATCTGTGTTGCTGAGGAGATGTGTTGCGGAGCTTTAAAGGAGTTGGCATTTCCTATGCACTGGTATCTTCAAACCCAGGCATAGACTAAATCTATGTAAATACTGTCTCCTAGGACAGAGGTGGGCAATAATTGTTGATGGGCCACTCCAAGAATTTGGTAAGTGGTCAAGGGCCCCAATCTTCCATGAAGTGTGGGGTTTGGGATGGAGGTGAAGTGCTGAAGGGAGCTTGGAGTAAGGGGATGGGGTTCAGGAAAGAGTATGGGTGAAGAAGGAGGTTGTGACCTCGGGCAGGGGATTAGGGTACAGGAGAGACTTTAAGTGCAGGAGAGGATGTAATGAAAAAAGAATCCCTGTAGAAAAGAGCTGTAGAGAGATACTCCTGTTTCTCTGCTCCCCTATTTTCACAGAGGCCAATATTCCTTTCTGAAAAAAAATATATCTGGTGACAACTGAGCTGACAAATCCCATTCACTGTAAAAGAAACAGTCACCTGCTTCCTCTCCCCTCTCCTTTTCACTCATCATGGACTATTTTTAAGGTACTTTTACTCTTTCGCCCACTTGTAATGGAGGATCTTGTAATGGAGGATGTCTCCTGAGAGAGACATTTACAATACCCCTCATCATTTTCTAAAATCTCACTTGTTCATCTTGTCTCAGCCTGACAGCCTTGATGACAGCTGTTTGGCATAACTGCTTCATCCTTCCACACAGGCACACATCCAACTATTTTTTTTCTTCCTCAGGAGCTGCAGAGGAGAAAGGGAGAAGGGAAATGCTTGGTCACTGTACAATGTTAAGAGACAGTGTGAAATCTGGCCTAGAGAGAAATAGTGATACAATCAAGCCCACGTTTGTGATTTCACTTTGATAGAGTATCTGTGACCAGGCAAGATTCATAGACACAAAGTTGCCTGTGCTCCCGACAGCTGTTCAGCGTGAAGGAGAAGCAAAACTGGAAAAAGCTGCAGTGGGGGTAGAGCAGCTACATGAAGAGGAAGAACAACTACTATGGTTTTTCCTCCTGTACTCTTTTTCCGCTCTATTTAAAAAAAAAAGTCTTATGTGCGGCAATGAAGAGAGTGCAGCATGGGAACAACCTTTCTATATAGCTTGTTGCCCTAAGAAAATTGCAAAAGGACACTGAACATAATGCTGCTCCAATCAATGTAAAGACCGTGGGCTTGATTCTGGGTTGCCTCATTGCTTGTGTAGTCATTTACCCTGTGCAAGATGAGTCTGATCGCTTGTCTAGATGCAGAGCTGCTTCAGTTTCACCACAATTACGCTGGTCTCACAGATTTAGTTAAACCAATGCAACTTTTGTGTAGACAATCCCTAAATCTCTACCATTCTAATCTGATAAAGTTTTATATCTATTCTGCACAGATGTAGATTACTAAAGAAGGTTCAAGATGGTAGAGAATCAGTGTCCTCATGTACATGGATGGTGAGTTATATGAGTTTCTCCCCTGGTCCTGTCTGCTGCTTCTGTTTGTTCCCCCCAGTGCATCCTCCAACCCATCTTGCTGTTCATGGGCAATTTAAAATGGTCAGGGGTCACCTGCCACCACCACAGGCAGCACTGCAAGGCTAGAGTGGCTTCCTGCCCACTCACTTTGCTCAGCTGCTAGCATTTTGCTGTGCCTATGACCCCAGGGTCTCCATGTGGTGGTCCCATTCTAAGCACCCCTGTGGCCAGTGAGAGCTGCTGGGACAGTGCCTGTGGGCAGCAGCCCAGGGAGACTCCCTAGCCCTCCACCGAGGAGCTGTTACCTGGGGCACCCTTCTCTGGCAAGCGCCACACTCTTCCTCCTCTCCCCATACCCTTTCTACTCTCCTGCCCCCAGGCTCCCACCCAGA